TGGGGGGTCATAAGACAACATGGAGGGGGAGGGGGGGCGGAGAAGGAGAAAGGCCACCAGAACATTTCGGGAGGGAAGCACCGGAGAGGATGTTTGACTCGCCAGTACAATCTGGATCATGACGGTGCAGCACAGGACACAGGCAATTCAGAGACGACTGGGTAATATGCCGGTATCATGGGGGGATGGGGCACAGCGGTGAGGACCTCGGGTGGTGGAGGTCTCCTCTCTGTGGGGTGGAGATATTTGTAGAGTTTCTTACCTTCTGTCCCTGCGATTCGTCAATCTGGTCTCCCTGGCTGTGTCCCGCCTCTCCTCCCATGATCCTTCCTCGCCTACTTCACCGAGCCTTCCAGTGTCCTCATAGATCCCTACTAGCCCAGAAGACATCCAATCACCAAAGGGCATTAGTAGAAAAAAAATATAGGAGGATCTCCAGGAGGGGGGAGGGGTTATAGGAGGATCCCACAGCTCTGTCCAATCACCTGATGGGCATGTTACCCAGCCTGCTATGAATTGCCTGTGTCCTGTACGGTACAATTAGGTGGAGGGAAATGTACGGGGATGGCGTCACCCCCACTCTGGAGACTATATAGACCTTGTCTGGGGGATCAGTGCACCCCAACACTGCCCACCTCCATATCCCATCAGCGGGGGTGTCCTCCTCCCGATGGCCGAGGACCCAATTCACAAACAAGGATCCTTCTGGCACTGGGTCAGCTTTGTGAATTGAGTTTGAGGTGTTCCCGGGAGTATGGCGGCTCAGACATGGCTCTCCTCTATGGGGGGTACGTTCCGGTCTTCACTCCCTACCTCTGACTGGGGATTGTAAGGGAGGAGGATGGGGATTGGGAGGAGGAGGATTAGGAGAAGAATGGTGATGGGGGAGGAGGATGGGGATGAGGAGGGAAATGGGGGGGTAGGTTCCGGTCTTAGGAGTATGATGATGGGGATGGGGGGGTAGGTTCCGGTCTTAGGAGTATGATGATGGGGATGAGGAGGGGGATGGGGGGGTAGGTTCCGGTCTTAGGAGTATGATGATGGGGATGAGGAGGATGGGGATTAGGATGAGGATTAGGAGGAGGCGGATGATGGGGATTAGGAGGAGGAGGATTAGAAGGATGGGGATTAGGAGGAGGAGGATTAGAAGGATGGGGATTAGGAGGAGGATGATGGGGATTAGGAGGAGGAGGATTAGAAGGATGGGGATTAGGAGGAGGAGGATTAGAAGGATGGGGATTAGGAGGAGGATGATGGGGATTAGGAGGAGGAGGATTAGAAGGATGGGGATTAGGAGGAGGAGGATTAGAAGGATGGGGATTAGGAGGAGGATGATGGGGATTAGGAGGAGGAGGATTAGAAGGATGGGGATTAGGAGGAGTATGATGATGGGGATTAGGAGGAGTATGATGATGGGGATTAGGAGGATTGGGGATTAGGAGGAGGATGGGGATTAGGAGGAGGAGGATTAGAAGGATGGGGATTAGGAGGAGGATAGGGGAGGAGGATGGGGATTAGGAAGGAGGAGGATTAGGATGGGGGAGGGGGATAGGTTCCGGTCTTCACTCCCTCCCTCTGACTGGGTATTGTAAGGGAGGAGGATTAGGAGAAGAATGGGGATTAGGAGGCGGATGGGGATGAGGAGGATGGTGGAGGAGGAGGATTAGGAGGGGGATGGGGGGGTAGGTTCCGGTTTTAGGAGTATGATGATGGGGATTAGGAGGAGGAGGATTGGGGATTAGGAGGAGGATGGGGATTATGAGGTTGATGGCTCCTCTGCCCCCATTGTCTCATTCTCTCTCTGGTTTTCAGTGCGGTGCGAGCGTGGCGACGTCTAGCGGAGTTGAACTCCTTAACCTCGGCACCTCGCTCTTTCCATCTCCGCCAACCTCGCTCTTTCCATCTCCGCCAACCTCGCTCTTTCCATCTCCGCCAACCTCGCTCTTTCCATCTCCGCCAACCTCGGCACCTCACCCTTTCCATCTCTGCCAACCACAGCGAGTACATTTCACGTATGGAGCGGTTTCTTCCTCCAGGCAGAACACACACTTCACAACAGAAGGGGCCACACAGTCCTAGAAATGGGAAGCTTCCACAATGCAGTTCTGTGATAGGGTGAGACTGAACCCTGGAAGTATTCCTAGATGTGGAGAGTCTGTCAGGCGTCTTTGACCTGCCTGTTCCGGCTGGGGGGACGGGGACTCTCCCCCTCTCCTTATCCTGGTGACCCCCCGACAGAAAGTGAACAATCCAAACTTTCCAGTTGTCACCAGAAAAAGGGGACCGCACCCCTTCCAGTCCAGGAAGTTAGAAATAAATCCTCCCCCCCCCCATCCACGGAGAGTCATGCGGTCTGATTCTTCCATTTCTTCTCCGATAGCCCCACAATCAGCCAGATAACTGATCCGGATCTATGTTATCTTCTTCCGTGGCCTCCTTCCAGCTCACATACTACACACAGGTCCACAGACGCTAAATATGACACGAGGACATTGCTATGTGAGGACCAGACTGAGAATAAACCACACACATGGCAAGACTCCTCCATGGTGGTCGTTCTTCACACAAGGTCCACAATCTCTCACACAGACCATAAATGAGTCCACAGGGTTAAGGGGCTGTGATTGCTGCCGAGTATAGCTGGCCATACACTATACCAGGGTCAGCTGACCTTCAGCCTTCCAAGACACAGACAGCCCCGACTTCCAGAGGCGGATGTATGATGAGATTTGTAGATTAACCGCGGCAGGGATGAAGCTTGGCTACCGCCGCCCTACATAATCAAAGTATCCAATTTCTGTATAAGGTCCTTTCGCTTTACCAAAACTAGATAAGACAAAAGATTGAGGAATGCTTTCAATGTGAATCCAATGAGGCGGCCCTCGTAGAACACGGTCCATGGTGATAGAACTAAAGGATATTGTACAGTGTATGGTCACCCCAAAAGTGTCAGATCTAAAACACGTGAAACATCCACAGGGTTCAACGCACACTATACCAAACCACTTAACTTTCCCTTTGGCTCCATTGGGTGTGGATGGGTTCACTTTCCCTTTGGCTCCATTGGGTGCGGACTGGTTCACTTTCCCTTTGGCTCCATTGGGTGTGGATGGGTTCACTTTCCCTTTGGCTCCATTGGGTGCAGATGGGATCACTTTACTTTTGGTCTCCATTGGGTGCGGATAGGTTCACTTTCCTTTTGGCTCCATTGGGAGCGGATAGGTTCACTTTCCCTCCATTGGGTGCGGATAGGTTCACTTTCCTTTTGGGCTCCATTGGGTGCGGATAGGTTCACTTTCCTTTTGGGCTCCATTGGGTGCGGATAGGTTCACTTTCCTTTTGGGCTCCATTGGGTGCGGATAGGTTCACTTTCCTTTTGGGCTCCATTGGGTGCGGATAGGTTCACTTTCCTTTTGGGCTCCATTGGGTGCGGATAGGTTCACTTTCCTTTTGGGCTCCATTGGGTGCGGATAGGTTCACTTTCCTTTTGGGCTCCATTGGGTGCGGATAGGTTCACTTTCCTTTTGGGCTCCATTGGGTGCGGATAGGTTCACTTTCCTTTTGGGCTCCATTGGGTGCGGATAGGTTCACTTTCCTTTTGGGCTCCATTGGGTGCGGATAGGTTCACTTTCCTTTTGGGCTCCATTGGGTGCGGATAGGTTCACTTTCCTTTTGGGCTCCATTGGGTGCGGATAGGTTCACTTTCCTTTTGGGCTCCATTGGGTGCGGATAGGTTCACTTTCCTTTTGGGCTCCATTGGGTGCGGATAGGTTCACTTTCCTTTTGGGCTCCATTGGGTGCGGATAGGTTCACTTTCCTTTTGGGCTCCATTGGGTGCGGATAGGTTCACTTTCCTTTTGGGCTCCATTGGGTGCGGATAGGTTCACTTTCCTTTTGGGCTCCATTGGGTGCGGATGGGTTCACTTTCCTTTTGGCTCCATTTGGTTGGATGGGTTCACTTTCCTTTTGGGCTCCATTGGGTGCGGATAGGTTCACTTTCCCCCTTTGGCTCCATTGGGAGCGGATGGGTTCACTTTCCCTTTGGCTCCATTGGGTGCGGATAGGTTCACTTTCCTTTTGGGCTCCATTGGGTGCGGATAGGTTCACTCTACTTTTGGCTCCATTGGGAGCGGATGGGTTCACTTTCCCTCCATTGGGTGCGGATAGGTTCACTTTCCTTTTGGGCTCCATTGGGTGCGGATGGGTTCACTTCCCTTTGGCTCCATTGGGGGCGGATGGGTTCACTTTCCCTCCATTGGGTGCGGATAGGTTCACTTTCCTTTTGGGCTCCATTGGGTGCGGATGGGTTCACTTCCCTTTGGCTCCATTGGGGGCGGATGGGTTCACTTTCCCTCCATTGGGTGCGGATAGGTTCACTTTCCTTTTGGGCTCCATTGGGTGCGGATGGGTTCACTTCCCTTTGGCTCCATTGGGGGCGGATGGGTTCACTTTCCCTCCATTGGGTGCGGATAGGTTCACTTTCCTTTTGGGCTCCATTGGGTGCGGATGGGTTCACTTCCCTTTGGCTCCATTGGGGGCGGATGGGTTCACTTTCCCTCCATTGGGTGCGGATAGGTTCACTTTCCTTTTGGGCTCCATTGGGTGCGGATGGGTTCACTTTCCTTTTGGCTCCACTTGGTTGGATGGGTTCACTTTCCCTTTGGCTCCATTGGGTGCGAATGGGTTCACTTTCCCCCTTTGGCTCCATTGGGAGCGGATGGGTTCACTTTCCCCCTTTGGCTCCATTGGGAGCGGATGGGTTCACTTTCCCTTTGGCTCCATTGGGTGCGGATGGGTTCACTTTCCATTTGGTAGAGGTGCTTGCCATGGTCCTGCAAGACTTCTTGACCTAAATGACCCAATTATTTGCCAACTCTGATTGCAGAGGCCCCAAGCGCATTCCCGCTCCCTCTCCTGCAGATTGTGTATCTGATTCACCTGTGGCCATAACAGCTTCAGAACCATTGGCCGCAGAGACTCAGATTTTGCGCTCAGCCCTAAGGAGTCAGTCTACTGCCATCACTCCCAAATGAAAGGAGGTCATTGAAGCAGTGCACACCAATCATCTTGTTGCCTCTGGAAGCCTATTTCCAGTCTTGGGTCCTTCTTCCAGACTTGTGATTAGAAGCACCCTGATTCTTTTCATCACCCAAGTGCTCCATTTTGTGAGGATCATGTTCAGGAATGGTCCGTTGCCACTGTGGAGCCAACCATGCAACGTCTTAAGGTGACCACCATACCGATCCCCACGATCCTTTGAGAATGGGTGGAGCAGATGGCTGTGGTGTTACATTTCAGCTGTGGAAGACTTCCTGCTAGTCTCTCCAACATGCCTCATGCTGAACACATTCATAGGGCACTTTAGCTAAAATGATGGACGAAGCGACCTTTGTGCAAGAAGTATGACCTTTGAGGGACAATTCCTCTTTGGACCAACTCTTGATACCATCATCAGTGATGCTACCGGCAGCAATTGCACTCATCTTGCCCAGGAGAAGAAGCCATCTGCAAAGTTGGCTCCTCGCTGCCTATTAAGAAATGTTCCTTTCATTGTTCCCGGCTCTCCACTTAAACGTCAAGACCCTCCAAACTTGGCTCCAGATCCACCCCACAAAGCCTGCTAAATCCTCCGACAAGAAGGTGCTTCCAGAGGGGGGAGTGATCTGTTGACTCTTCTGGCCACTTGGACAACTTCATTCCAGATGTTTGGGTTCAGGATGTGGTGGCCCAGGGCTACGGACTGGAGTTTCGCTCCCTGCCTTCTCTTTGTTCTCTCACTTTCAATCTTCCGGCGTCTCAGAGTCTCACCACCTCTCTATGGCTTAGACCAGTGGTTCTCAACCTGTGGGTCGCAACCCACAGTTGAGGGGGTCCCCACGTGCCTTGTGCTGCTCTAGGTAAGAGGTTCCTCAGCTTCCACCTGGCGCAGCAGTGTCAGTCCTCTTAGATGGCGCTGCAGCATCAGTGGCCGGAGAGGATCAGAGAGAGGGGAGCAGGCAGGAGTGAGGGGAGTTGAGTGCTGGGCACCACAGAGGCCGCACTGGGCACCACAGAGGCCGCACTGGGTGTCCCCAGAGAGTCCCACTAGCCACCTGAGAGCCCACACAGATACTAGTATTGGTGCATCCCTAAATTTTACGGTTGGGGGTCACCACCACTTGGCAAATGTTACCAAGGGGTCCCGGCCCTAGAAAGGTTGAGAACCACTGGCTTAGACAGACCCATCATCAAAACTTAAGGTCTCAAGGATCGGGTTCCACCTCTTCCTGTCACGGCGCACTCTACTAGATCCTTGAGCTCTGCACAGATTTGTAAGGCTGCCATGTGGTCTTCTCTTGACACGTTCTCTATGTTCTACCAGGTGGATGTTGTGGCCTCATCTTCTGCATAAGGTTCTCCAGCAGGTTCTGTCAGCTGCAGGCAGTCCCCCAGTTCTGTGTTTTCTTGGGCCCAGTTTTTGGTTTGCACTCGTCCAATCCTCCTGTAGGCGGCAGTATATCTAGAAGCTGAAAGACGTCCTGTGTCTGTCAATGGATTCCAGGTAATCACTGCGTGATCAGCTACCTCACACAGCCCGATGGACCTTCCTAAAACCACAATTCATGGCACTTGAAAAGAGTACAACTGTACCCAGACTTAGGACCCGTTGAAGAGGACCTGTCGGTACCTTTTGCTTGAATAAATCAGTGACAAATGACATCATACAGCATCCGGATCAGTTTTCAGTTGACTCTTACATGAGTATCAGCTGTGCCAGGGGCGGCATGGCAAAGGTGACAGGGAGGAGGTGGAGGAGGCCGGGCCACAGCAGCAGGTAAGAGGAGTTTGTAGGAGGTACAGGGAAAGGGACCCCGGCAACCAGCCCACCTGGGGCCCTGCAGAGCCCACCATCGAGTCTCAGATAGGCTGTGCAGGATCTATGGAGTGCTCTGCAGGGTCACTCTCACGTGGGCTCCGCCGGGTCTCAGGTAAGCCCAGCGCGTCGCCGAGCCCACATATACCTATATACCCATAAGGGTAAAAGACGACACATGGCGTGTTATCTTCATTTTAGATGTCATAAAGGGTTTTGTGGCTCCTGGAGTTTTCTTTTCTGTGAGAAACGGGTCCAAATGGCTCTGAGTGTTTAAGGTTGCTGACCCCTGACTTACCTCAGAGGCACCAAATGACTGAAACATGGCAGTAAACTCCAACAGCCAACCTAAAATAAGGATTGGATGTGAACGTTCCTCCTCCTAGTTGGAGGTCGTGTCCCCGTGTTCTCCATCTCAGCTTCATATTGCCTCCTGAACCTCATTCACGCCCTTCATGTATGACCAGGTTTCACCCACGGGGTCCTCCCTCTCCCCTCCGGACTGTACAGAAGATGTCTCCACAACAAAAGCCACGCCCCCCCCCTTCGCTCGGTGGTCCTACGCTGGACTCTCACCCCGTCATCTCCCAAACTGAACACTTTAAGAAAGGCTGCCTGTCGGCCTTTTGGCTAAGATCAAGTGTAGTATCTGTTCTTATCAGTTGTCGGGAACAGAGCGGCCGCCGTCGCCTATGGAGAGGGGTAGATGGCGGCCTATTCCTGGCGTAATTGGTGGGGCGCTGGATGAGGTTCCAGGCCATCGGAGCTTTCGACCCTTGTGATGGGTGGGCTCCGGCGGAGGGATCTCTGAAGGCGCCCCGCCTCCGGAGACGAATGGATGCGAAGCTTGGTCGAGGCTGGAGGGTTGGGGGGCGGCAGAACCCCGTGGTGTTGTGCCCCCTAGGGGGTGGCGTCCCAGGGGTGCTCAGGTAGTCACTTGGGTGTGGGACCCCAACACTGACTCACTCGGTCACACACCACATTGCTATTTTCTGCACAACGCCTCTAGGGCCGGCCTTACGGCTAGTCCGGGGCCATTTTTTAGCACCCGGCCCCTAAGGCCTGTCAGCGTGGTGCGCTGGCACTTTAGTATCATTTATGCACAATTGGCCTTTTTTTAAAAGCTTTTTGACCCACAGATGCAGCGGGTGCAGGTTCCTTCGGGGCCTATTCCTGACGCTGGGAGGAGATTCTGTGCCTCCTACCTCTCTGTCTCCTCCCACCCAGGAGGAGGGTTTCTCTTCGGGAGATCCCCCCTGCCTAGTACTGTGAGGGACCCGCACCGGCAGGTCCCCGACGGAAATGGTCCACCGGCCTTCGGGTTGGTGGGCCAACAGTCTCAACCCGTCAGGAGCCTTGCACCCCCGGGGGGTCTTCGGAAGGACCCAGCACCCTCGTGCACGTTTTTGTGTGCTGTGATTTCACGGTTGCACTTTTTTTGTTCACAGGGGGAAGTTTTGATGCGCGTCCACGGGCTTCGATAAAAAACCTGTACGTATTACTGAACTACAGCAGAGAAAAAGCAGGTCTCCATCCTGCCAGACAGGACAGCGCAGTGTGGCAAAGCTGTGTAAATAGCAGGAGTGGATGGACAGAAACCCAAATCTTTTGGCAGGTAAAACAGCTCCTCGATATGTATTTAGCTGCTGGCCCAGAGCTCTCAGATTTATGTCCCCCGGACAAGGGCAACCCACCTCGAGGAGCGGCAGCACCCTGCAATGCCCTGTATACACCACCGGGGGGCGCTCCCTCCACCCCCCAGAAATAAATCATTAGACTTTCTATGAAATAATCACTTCTATTTACAAAACCAAAACATCTAAAATGACAAATTGGCAGTTGTGGGTTTGTGGATGGGGGGGTGGGCA